CATGATACACATGTTTGACCCAAAAAAAGATAATTGATCTTGATTCTGAGTATAGTCAGAATGGCAAGTCTTTGTTGAGTATAAAGTTTTTTAACACTATAAATATATAAAAACTAATACTAGTTTTAAAATATATTTCTTTTGATAAAGTACTTGTTTTAAAATATTGCACTTGTCTTTCATGTGTTTATATTAAAAATCGAATATTCATTTAATCTAAGCCGGATCCGGAGATTAATTCAACAGAATAAATATTTTCTATTTCATTCCACAAGTATCACGACAAAAAAATAAGACCAATCAAAATTTTATTTAAAGAAACATGTTTTTACTCGATTTATAATTACTATTATATATTTTCAATCATTTACATATTTGTGATATACGAACCGAAATGAATCTTGCATGTCATGAGATCTTTACGTGTTATTAACTTATTCTATTCCTTTTAGCTCCTATTATTTATATATAGCGTATACACTTTTGTGACTAGTGACAAAAAAAAAAAAACGTATACACTTAGTGAGTTAGTGGCAAAAAAACGTATACACTTATTACAAAGACATAATATTCACTTTTGATTGAAAATATTCTTTGAGAATATATTTTTTTATATTCTCAAATCAGAATCTTTTAGAGAATTAGAGGAGGACACGAGAGGATGCAATAAATCAAGAAACATAAAACAATTACAAGATTCCACCATGAAAAGAATCTTTTGAAAAGAGATTCCCCATGATTTATGCTTCCACTTATAAATTGAATTTTTGTGGATTTCCACCAAAGATTTTTTCTCTCTCTTTCAATTTCCAAAAGTAGAATTCAATTTCATAACAACATTGATCGTAACCTATTTGGTCGAACCAATAGAAACATAGTAACTCAATAGACAATTCGGTTTATATGTAAGTTGGTAACTAATGTCACGGATTTAATATTTTTATAGAATATGCATTAACTAAGTATGATTTACTAACTGGGCCTTAGAATGGGCTTTAGTGAAATAATTTCCCCAATTTATGGACCTATTAGCCCATCAATCTCTAAAATGAAACAACAAAATTCTGAGTGGTAAAATGAAGAGAAACTACAAGTCTTAAAAGGGACCGAGTCTCCTTCATCATTACCATCTCCTCGATTTTCTCTCCAATTGTCTGTCACTCCATCAATGTCGGTTCCCATTTTCCCACTCACTATGACCCTAAGGAAACCGATGAGGTGGAACAAAGAAAAAAGTAAACAAAGGGAACAAGCTCGAACAGAATCTCTCTTCCTTCGAGAAACAGAGCACGTTTGAGTGGAAGGTATATATATTTTGTCCCTCTTTACTTTGATGATCTACTGTTTTCAAATCTGTGTGTTCTCCTGGTGGGCTTGTCGGAAATGCCACATATTTTGGACTGATCGTTTTCTTAAATCATGGGTTGTTAGAAAAGATTTGAATTTGTTTCGTTTATTGTTTTTTTCTTTTGGAGCTCCTATGAAATTTAGATATTTACTTTGGCTGTGATTCTTGAATTGAAATTTTCTAGCCTCATGATCATCAGTGTGATCATATGATGCAGAAAAGTAATAATGTCAGATGATTTTGTCTCAGTTTATGTTGAGGAACATAATCTCATTGGTGATGTTACTTTGTTCGTTTCCAGGGGACTGTAGGAAATAATCTTTTGCTCTACTTAGTAATCTCTTGTTGTGAAACCTTCTTTATACCTTCGAAAATTTTCAAGAAGACTGGTCATGTTAATGTATTTTGAACGTTTCTTTGCAGATTGAATACAGTTTCTGGTGGTTTAGTTTCTCTGAGTTTTGGTGATAGATCAGAACAACTGGCAGATTTTGGAGAATGTCGACAGTGGGAAATTCGACAAACATATTTTGGCAAGAATCACCCATTGGGAAAACTGAAAGGCATAAGTTGCTAAACCAGAAAGGTTGTGTGGTATGGATCACAGGGCTCAGTGGCTCAGGTCAATCTTCTAAACAATCTTAAATCTTTCCCATTGGTGATGATGATTACCTAAGATACTTTGTTAGTTTCATATGTTCTTATGTTACATAAGTCTTTGTCTATATTTGACATTCTTAACCTGGAACTTTGTGCAGGGAAAAGCACATTGGCTTGCTCGCTTAGTAGAGAGCTGTACACCCGGGGAAAGCTATCATATATTCTTGATGGGGATAATCTTCGTCATGGTTTGAACAAAGATCTCGGTTTCAAGGCAGAAGATAGAGTGGAAAATATACGAAGGGTCGGTAAGTACAGAGTTGCATATAATTTTTTCAATTCAGAAGAAGATTGATTAATACAAATACTAGTAACTATTTGTTCCAAATGCAGGGGAAGTAGCCAAACTGTTTTCGGATGCTGGTTTGATCTGTATAGCCAGCCTCATATCCCCTTACAGGAAAGACCGTGACGCTTGTAGGGAAATGATGCAGGATTCATCTTTTATCGAAGTAAACTACTTGAAACCAGGCTTTTTTCAGTGTTGTTGTCCCTTAAAACATCTTGTTATTGACACTTAAACTGGTTAGGTTTACATGAACATGTCTCTACAATTGTGTGAAGCAAGAGATCCTAAAGGCTTATACAAGCTTGCACGTGCAGGAAAGATCAAAGGTACATAAGCTTTCCATATAAACAAAAGATAGCAAATTGCTTCCATAATCTTGAAAGAATGATTTATTTTTTCTTCGTACACAGGTTTCACAGGAATAGATGATCCGTATGAATCTCCCTTGAACTGTGAGGTATGTTCCATCTGAATACATAATTCTTTCTTCAAGAATAACGCAAATTATGCTGGTGTGTGTGAATTTGTATGCTTTTTTGAAACGTAACAGATAGAGTTGAAAGAGAAAGAAGGAGAGTGTCCTTCACCTGTAGCTATGGCTGAGGAAGTCATCTCTTACTTAGAAAACAAAGGCTTCCTTCAAAGCCAGTAAACCTCCACCACCAAAATCCAACGGCTGATATTTGTTTTTTCCTTTTCTGAGTATTCTCTGTTTTTTTTTCTCTCATGTTTCTTCTTCACTTTGCAAATTCCAAAGAAGTTTTAAGTAAGAAACGACATATATAGCTTTACAGTATTTCATTTGCAACTTGTTCCTTAATTTTAGCAACCAACTCAGTTGGATTAATTATAAGATAATTAGTTAATCTTCCAAAATACTGAAAAGAGAAAGAGAAAAAACGAGATCAATTTTCTTTTGTCGTCATCTAGAAAAAGGTCAAATAAAATTATAAGAGCATACACAATTGTGATACAACATGGGTATTAATTTTTACTCAACTTTATACCTTTTCTTTCATCTTTTTACTCAATTTTTATTAATTTTATACTCTCTTTAAATATAAAATTATTAAAAACACACTTTTTCTCTCTTCAAAAGTATCAAAGTATCAACTATTTGATACTCTCTCTCCAAAAATATCCACTATCTCTTATCTTTACTCAAATTTTATTAATTTTATATTTCAATACACCCCATTATTTCAATCAAAAACACTCTCTTTCTTCTTTTTACTCAAATTTTAATAATTTTATATTTAATGATACCCACATTGTATCACCTAAGACGTATTGGAATTTTTCTAATAACTGCTTTACAATAATGAAATAAATCGTTTTCAGAAAAAAAAGTTAGAGAACAATTTGACTAGTTCGCAAAAATAGAGGGTATTTTTTGCTATTTTCCCTAATTTAAGATCATAGGATCTGGAATTATTTAAAAAAAAAAAAACACGAAACAAAACTCGATTCCAGAGAAATTTT